CGAACGATCCTCTTTTGATGATCCCCATATACTGCTCCTCTTAACAACGATGTCAGTCGTGCAGACAATTGTGTTGTTCATTTTTAGTCGATCATCGTGACGGTCTACCTGGGCCTCCTCATCTGTGGGTGAAAATGTTGCCAGGCTGAAATCGCCACCATAACTGCGACTACCTTGGCTCCCCTTGCCATACTTGCCTCCGGGCTTTCCAACGCCCGAGCTTCCAATGGTTTTTGGCAGGTTTCCTGACTGGGGCATTCCTGTTGCTGAACTCCACAAGCCGAGTCGTTGTGCAGCTGTCCGATATAATGGCCGGAGCGTTGCTAAACTACCTGCTGTAATTGCTAGGCCTTGCTCCGTTGTCGACCAAACAGCAATGTCAACCGTTGCCCCTTTTGGCTAATAGTTAGTATCAATTATTTGCAAAAGCAGTCAGTGGGTTACCATACATAGAAAGTCCGGGTCCATAAAGTCTTTGATATAAGCCAAGCGAACGACAACAGCAGAGCTTGCCCTACAGTTGCAACTCTATCAGTTCATGACACTTAAGAAGACTATAGGTCCACTTACACACAACCCATACTCAGAATTGGTATCAATGCGAACTTGGTTCTCTTGTCCATCTGGAGACCCCAGATTAAGAATATAGGAAGAATAGCAAAGGTGAAGTCGCACATCACGCTAAAGGCGCTATAAAGGTACGTAAGAGCAGCAATTATGCCCACGTCAATGCAGGATCCTTGGGTAGTGCCGTCAAACCTAAGCCAGAAGTACGGTATTGGGTTGCATTGGAAAAGAGTAACAAAAAAGAAGACCATGCCTGTGACGACTGTGAGTAGCAGGTTAACGTAGATGATATAGTGATGGATTCGCTGAACAGCAATTCGTAGGAGGAAAATTCCGATCGAGATCTTTGAGGCTATCATAGTGAGGCAGTACCAAACATAACAAAGCCACCAATACTGTGATAGGGTTTAGCTTGAAGGCCCCAACTTCCACTTAGAATAAATTTGATCGTACCATCATAGCCTTCTCAATGTTCGGGGTTTCTAAATCTGCAAAATGACGTCCTGTTCCATAGTGAATGCCAGTAATTGCACATGTGACGAACAGAATAAATGAGACCTATTTCAATTGCTGTTAGAGATTATCGTCGTATGCATTTGCTGAAGAAACGCACTGTTGCGGCCATCATTGTCCAATCGTCAGCACCGAAAGCTTTCACCAGACCCAATCGTGTATAACATCTTAACAATGTGGCTGTCACCGCCGTGATTAACAAGATGATGCACACCTTGAACAACTCCGGGCTTCGATCCTCGACGGCGGCCATGGCTGAACTAATTTTACTGCAGCCTTCGGTTTGGAGACAGATAGGGGGGTGATCGGGAGACTGAAAACTGGAGATGAGATATGTATAGTGGACCTGGCACCTTTGGAGGTAATGCTATTAATGCTGCTTCTTGATCATAAGTGTCGACGCAGGTAGAGGGCGTATGATCCATCGGCGAAGGAATAACTGCAGAACAATTCGCCAACATACAATATTAAGAAATAAAATTGGAAAAAAAAAACGGAAAGAAAGAAATGACCAAAGCAACCACAAATCTCGAAAACTTTCCCAATGTTGAGACGGAGAGGAGAGAGTCAACTAATATGTCGAGAAAAACGGCCCGACGAGGTGTGTCCCTGTTCATGGGTAAATCTTTCCGCTCCACTCGGTTCCACCTGTAAAGCCCCTGCATACTACCATAGTAGATTGACAGAATATACAGATCTCCAGCATGATAAGATCTAGCGTGGTGCTAAAGATAGGGGGCTAGCCCCGTGCCACTTTCTTTGAAAACCTTGACTACGTAAAGATATGCACATATATTACAGGTGAAGAGCCCACTTACAAAACTGACCTAGGGATTAATTTTGGCTATGGGATATCGACCGAGCCTTCTCGTAGAGCGGAGGCTATAGAGAGGATGCCCTGAGCTCAAGAGAAAAGTACTGGTCACACAGCCAGCAGTATTGACTCGACTAGTGGCATGGGGGAGAACTACCTACAGGTTATAGTATGAACTACAACATGGCTGCATGACCATGTTCTAGTCCGGAGTGATCAGCGCTGCCCTACCAATCAGACAAGCCCCCGAGCGACACATCCTAAAAAGCATTTCGTCTCAGACACGAGTCTCCAGAATGAAGAATACTACTAGTGTACCATAGAATTCTTATACCTTACCAGATCGCGTCAAGTGCCGGGGTGCCGGGAGAGGCGTCGTAACAGACAGTCTTCTCTATACCCTGTCCAGTCAAATTAATGGTGCCGCTTTCGGAAGAGTCTTACCCATTCAGGCTACGACTATAGAGCCCAGACCTCTTCCTCGGTAATTCGTTGCCCTAGATATCTGGGTTTACTAGGTCGCTAATGCGATCGATAGCATAGTTTCTCTGCCTGGCTAACGAATGACATGTTCTCCCGGGGTCGGTTCGGTGGGTCGAGTCTTCTCATGGTTCATCGCATCATGCGTATCTTGCTTGACCGAGAACTTGGGTGCATCGGGGGAACCGGACCTTCGGGTTGACTATCAGGTCCCGGTTAGACGGTTCCAGGCTCACATGAATCGGTGAGGGAAGCATGAGGAGAAGTGGAGGTCTAGGATTGTGCCTTCTGGCGTAATTTATGATTATGCCCGGTTTAATCCCCGATGAGAATCAGGGACGTTACTATGTAAAGATGGAAGGGGAGAAAAATTTCATGCCATGGTGAAACCAGTAGTTTACGACTACATGCTTACACATGGTACATGGGGAAAGCTTTAATGTTACCCAATACGCACAACAAGCACCGCTCCATAAATTAAATGCGGATTAAGTAATAGTGTATCGCCCTAGCGAACATTAGAGTGTTAGAGTAGTACGACACTTCAGAACATACCTAGGTAGATAAAGTTGGGGTATACTAATCCACAAGAGCTTTGAACAACCACGAGAGGCTGAATACGGGATGATTATAGCAAGACCTACTAGGTATCTTGAATTATCAAGTGTTGAAATACACCTAAACCAAATATGAACCCGTCTTATCCCCTTCTATCAAAGCCTAGAAGCTACTATTGGGTGCATATTGGATGTTCTAGATCTACCTTGAAAGCAATACGGATTAGCAGCATACATACACTTGGAATTTACTAAGCATATTATACACACATATGTGAAAAGCTTATAAGCAAGTCGCTTTGACTGAGCACAACTGGTGTCAAGGAGAGAACTAAATAACTACTTAGGTTATCACTAAACTATGTATGCCGTTATGCAAAAAAATCTAGAACTGCAACTATACATGTTACTGTTATATATATATATGGGAACACTTTTTTGTTCCCACCCCTGACAATTGGGTTTGTGTTATTATAACATCTGCACTAGTGGTAATACATGACCCCTTCCTTACGTGAATTACAGCTATTTTATTGTAGTTATTTTAAAAGTTGAGATACCAAGTTAGATCAGCCTTAGGAGATGCCTCTTCACTTATACCAGCAAGCCCAGTTGTTATAGATTTCTTGTTAGCGTTAAGTCCTTAAGGCCTTCCTTTACATATATTTCTGCAGCAATAAATACAAGTATTGGCTTTGTTACCGTATGCATAAGCCAGTTATACATTCCCGAGGTTTTAAGTGGTGGACCCCACTGTTGTGGGTATCTACATTGTAACAGTTGAAAAAAATAACCTCCTAAGTTTTTTTAAACAGTTTTAACTTAATGCTTTTGTTTTGCCATGTTGTATGAAGTTGGATAGCATACTGCTACATTTAATAAAAGAGTAAAGAATGAATGAACATGAGCTATCCCCGCTTTGGCTTAAATTGTTCACTTCATTAATGCCTATAGAGTATGTATTTGAAGGACGTTAGTAGTTCTGTTTGTTACCTTAACAGTGTATGGTGAGTCGCCCGTCAGTAAGCACCACCAAGACGCAGTATTTATTACCAGTTCATATTGCCCACCCCGACACCACCTGCTTATCACCTATCCCCAAGTCCTAGGTTTTCAATGAGGGATACCTATCTATAATTCCGGCGAACGTTTATTTGCTGCACTGGAATAACACCATCAGGTACGAGTGGGATCTGCGGACCAAGTCGTACGACTTACCACAGCCCAATTTGTTCAAAGCTCGAGGCTGCCGTTGAGGCATCAAGTTGCCGCTGAATTCTCCCATCAAGCCATTTCATTTCTCTCGGAACGGCAGTTAGATCAGCTAGTCATATTTCTCTCGAGTCCACCGCTACCTGAACGACTTAGAATCCGACGGGTTTCCGCTTTTGCTCTATCTCTATCGGAGATATCAACCAAGTTTCACACACACGAACTCGTAAATCAGATGAAGCTGCAAGCCGCCTCACCAAGCCATCGGGGCCTGTTAACGCCGAGGTACCTATAGTCATTCATTGCCAGACGAAGGAGGATGGCATAGGTGCTTTCTAGGACGAAGATAGCCAAGCCATCCAAGTCCTCACGAGAAGAGGTTTCAACGACAAGCTTACCTTTTGCCATGATTAGCACTAGCGCGGCGAAGACAATTTTCCTGGCTAGGGTCGCTGCTCAACTGCTGAATGAAGCTCCCAGGTTAGGAAACTTTATGATGATCTCTCTTTTGATATATTGATCCCTCGTGACATTCAAGATGCCCAAGCAAGTGCTTAGGTGATCAATACGTTGTTGTGCGAGGAATTGACTACAACTATGAATGTCACTGTTACCTATATACAAGTATCTTTCTTTGTCTTTGTTCCTTCCTAACCCCTGACATTTCCTTTCTCTCCTTTTTTTCGAACGACTTACCAACTTTACTAATATCTGCTAAGAGCACTCAGCATACTCAGGCAGCAAATCAATAATTATATCCGCCTGGTTATAAGAAGCCCATTTATTGGCTGAAATCCAGGCTTCTTTAGCTCAAGATATACAAGCTTTATTAGGCTTTAAATGTTTTCATCTATATAGCGGGGATAGCTCAGCTGGGAGAGCGTCAGACTGAAGTACAACTTCACCAGCTAATCTGAAGGCCGTGCGTTCGATCCGCACTCACCGCATGTTTTTTTTTTTTTTTGTATTATATCCTATTATTTAGTTGTTTTTATAGGAATATAAACACGCTTTAAAACAGTGAGTTTTATAAAAACCTTTTTTACACCTTATAAGTTAGTTATATTTATAAAAAATAAAGATATATATATATATATATAATTTGTTATTAACCGTATAATAATATAATAATAATAATATATTTTACGTTTAAAGCGGGTAAAACTAGCTAATTAATTAAGTAAATATAATTTTAAGCTTATATAAACTATAAAACGGTTAAAGTAAAAAGTTTATGCTTTTATACTTACATGTTAAAAATTTATATAAGAAATTTTTTACATTAATGCGCTTTATTATAGCTAGCTTTTTTTAAAGCTTTATTAATAAGGTTAATTAATAATGATGATAATAATAATAATAATGATATATTTTACGTTTAAGATAAGTAAAACTAACTAACTAATTAGCTATTTATAACTTTAAGCTTATATAAACTATAAAACGGTAAAAGTAAAAGGCTTTAAAAGCCTTCGTACTAACGCAAGGTTATGATTTAGTTACTAATTAGTTATTAAATTAACTAGCCCCACTAACTAAAGTTAATTAATGGCCTAACTAAAACTATATAAATTAATTAGTATAATAACTAAAAACTATATAAGTTAATTAATAGCTTAATTAAAATTACTATAATTAGTTAGTAGCTTAATTAAAACTAACTACATTAATTTAAGTTAATAACTATAAAAAAACTAAAAACTAACAAAAATAACTTACTTTTTTAATAAATATTAATTTTTATTAGTATTTTTATATTACATATTAAAAAAAGTAGCGTATAAAAAGTTTTTATATATATAATTTAAGCTATTTGAAAAAAAAATTTATATATAAAATTACATTACGATTTTATATAATTAATTTTTTAAAAAATATAATTTTATTTTTAATATATAAAAAGTTATTTAATTTTTTAATTTAAAGTTTATTAAAAATTATAATTAAGCTTAAAAAAACGTTTAAACTTATTAACATTATAACTTTTTTAATTTAATTAATAAAATTTTAATTTTTATAATAAAAATTATAGTAAATTTTATATTTAATTTATATTATATTTAAAGTTTTAAAAAGCTTTTTATTTTTTAAATAAAATCTATTTATTAACTTATTTAATTTTTTTCTTTTTTTAAAACCTCTATATTATTAGTATATTGCTATTGTAATTTTTTTATATTATTAAATTTCTAACTTTTTAATAACGTTAACTATTTTATAGTTTTTAACTATAATTTATTTCGATTTTTAATAATTATATTACTAAAAATTAAAAATGTACGCTTTATAAAAGTTATTATTACTAATATTGCTAGGCCACATAGCGCAGTAATTAAGCGCCTAGCTTATTAATGTAAAATACTAATACATAGGTTTAAATTTTATTATAGTCTAACTAACTATTTTTTTTTTAAAGCACATATACTTTTTATTGGCTGTTTATAGCTAATAAAAGCATTATTAGCAAAACTTTTTGCTAAGCACTTACATTATTGCCGGCTAATTGCCAGCATATATATATACTTTGCTAACATTTTAAAGTAATACTGTAAATAAAGCTACATTAGTAAAATAGAAATATTAGTAAATAAAATATTTACTGTTAACAGCCCTACTAATAAAGTATTTATCGCCAACAACCTCACTATTGCTAACACCTCTTCTTTTTATAAGGTAGCTTTTTATAAGGTAGCTATTACTAATTAACCTTACTATTGCTAACACTTTTTTTTAATAAGGTAGCTATTGTCGACTTATACCTTCCCATCGCTAACACCTCTTTTTAATAAGGTAGCTATCGTTAACTTACATACTTATCGCTAACCTTATCATTGCTAACACCTTTTTACAAAGTAGCTTTTTATAAGGTAGTTTTTTATAAAGTACTATTATTAACTAACTTACGGCTATATAGCGCAGTGGTTAAGCGTTTAGCAAACATTAGTGTAAAATATTAATATAATAAGTTCAAATCCCATTATGGTCTAATTAACTATCCCTTTTTTTAAAGCACAATACTTTTTATTAGCTATTTTATAGCTAATAAAGCACTATTGGCGAAACTTTTCGCCAAGTACCTACATTATTGCTAACTAATTGCCGGCATATATATATACCTCGCTAATATTTTAAAGTAGCACTGCAAATAAAGCATTAGCTAAATAAAAATAGCAGCAATTAAAATCTTTATTGCTAATAGCTTTATTAATAAGGTAACTATTACTAATAACTTTACTATTACTAATACCTCTTTTTTTACAAAGTAGCCTTTTATAAAGTAGCTTTTTATAAAGTGCTGTTGCTAACCTACACACTTTTTTATCGCTAACACCTCTTTATTTAATAAAATAGCTATCGTCGACCTACACACTTCCTTATTGCTAATACTTCTTTATTTAATAAAATAGTTATTATTAACTTATATACTTTCCTATCGCCAACACCTCTCTATTTAATAAAGTAGCTATTGCCAACCTACTTACTATTGCTAACCTCACTATCGCTAATACCTCCTATAAAGTAGCCCCCTATAAAGTAGCTATTACTAACTAACCTACTAATAAAGCTTTAAAAAAAGCTAGCTACGGTAAGGCATTATTATTAACACAAAAGATTTTTTATGTAATTTTTAACACGCTAATATAGGGGCTTTTAAGGCCTTTTACTTTAACTGTTTTATAGTTTATATAAGCTTAAGGTGTAACTAAATGCCATAGTAGATAGTTCAGCTATAAGCTCCTGCATTGGACGTTAAATATATTATTATTATTATTATTACTAACTAACTTACTAATAAGGCTTTAAAAAAGGCTAGCTATAGTAAAGCGCATTAACGCAAAAAATTTCTTATGTAAATTTTTAATATGCAAGTACGAAGGCATAAGCCTTTTACTTTAACCGTTTTATAGTTTATATAAGCTTAAGGTGTAACTAAATACTATAGTAAATAGTTTAGCTATAAGCTCTTACACTGGATGTTAAATATATTATTATTATTATTATTATTATTATTATTATATATACTTTTTATTGCTAACATTTCTTTATTTAATAAAGTAGCTATTATCGACTTATATACTTTTTATTGCTAATACTTCTTTATTTAATAAAGTAGCTATTATCGACTTATACACTTTTTATCGCTAATATTTTTTTATTTAATAAAGTAGTTATTGTTAACTTATATACTTTTTATTGTTAACTTTACTATTGTTAACATTTTTTATAAAGTAGCTTTTTATAAAGTAGCTTTTTATAAAGTATTATTATTAATTAATTTATTAGCAAAGCTTTAAAAAAAGTTAGTTAACAGTAAGGCGCTAATAGCGCAAAGGATTTTTTATATAAATTTTAATATGCAAGTATATAATAATAATAATAATGATGATATATTTAACGTTTAGTGCAAGAGCTTATAGTTAAACTATTTACTATGGCATTTAGTTATACTTTAAGCTTATATAAACTATAAAACGGCTAAAATAAAAGGTTTATACCTTTATACTTACATGTTAAAAATTTACATAAGAAATTTTTCGCGCTAATAAGTTAGCGCCTTACTGTAGCTAGCTTTTTTTAAGGCCTTGCTAATAGGTTAATTAATAACAGCTACCTTATAAAAAGCTACTTTATAAAAGAAATATTAGCAATAATAAAGTTATTAGCAACAATTACCTTATTAATAAGGCTGTTAGCAATAAATATTTTGGTTGCTAGCATTTTTATTTAGCTAATGCTTTTTAATTCATTTACAGTGCTATTTTGAGATATTAGCAACAATTACCTTATTAGTAAAGCTATTAACAATAAATATTTTAATTGCTAACATTGCTATTTAATTAATGCTTTTTAATTGCTTAACAGCTTTATTTACAGTGTTATTTTAAAATGTTAACGAGATATATATATATGCTAGCAATTAATTAGCAATAATATAAGTATTTAGCAAAAGGTTTTTGTTAATAATGCTTTTATTAACTATAAAATAATTAATAAAAAGTGTATATGCTTTAAAAAAAAGATAGTTAGTTAAACTATAATAAAATTTAATAATAATAATAATGATAATAATATATTTTACGTTTAAGGCGGGCGAATTACTTAACTAATTAGCTATTTATAACCTTAAGCTTATATAAATTATAAAACGGCTAAAATAAAGAGCTTATATTTTTATACTTGCGTGTTAAAAATTACATAAAAAATCTTTTGCGCTAATAGCGCTTTATTATAGTTAGCTTTTTTTAAAGCTTTGCTAATAAGGTTAGTCGGTAATAGCTACTTTATAAGGGGCTATTTTATAAGGGGGTATTAGCAATAGTAAAGTTAGCGATAGGTGTGTGGGTTGGCGACAGCTACCTTATTAAATAGGGAAATATTGGCGATAAAGAAGTATGTAAATTAATAACAGTACCTTATAAAAAGTTACCTTATAAGAAGTTACTTTATAAAAAAAAAAGTGTTAATAATAGTAAAGTTATTAATAATAAATATTTTGTTAATAAAGCTATTAACAATAAATATTTTAATTGCTAACATTTTTATTTTATTAATATAGCTTTATTTGCAGTGCTACTTTAAAATATTAGCAAAGTATATATATATGTTAGCAATTAACTAGTAATAATGTAAGTATTTAGCGAAAAGTTTTACTAATAGTGCTTTTATTAGCTATAAAATAGCTAATAAAAAGTATATGTGCTTTAAAAAAAAAGATAGTTAATTAGACTACAATGAGATTTAAACTTATGCATTAGTATTTTACATTAATGAGCCAGGCGCTTAACTATTGCGCCATGTGGCTATATAATAAAATTTAAACTTATTATATTAATTTTTATATTAATACTTATTAAACGCTTAATTATTGCGTTATGTAGCTTTTTTTTAACTTTTACAGTATTATTATTTTTAAGTTTATATTATTTTATTATTATTTAAATTATTT